GGCACAAAGTGGGATGGGAGGGCTGCAGGGATGGGGCTTAGGGGGGGTGTGAAGTTATAGGGGGGTGAAGTTATAGGGGTGAATGGGAGCGGGGAGAGCGAGGGCCTGAAGGGCTCATGGGGCGATCAGAACACATGGGGGTGGGTGCTGGGGGGGTGGAGGGGGGGGGCTGTGGGTCTGGGGGTCACCACGGGGTACCCTGCTCTCCACGTCGCTCAGCAGCAGGTCCTGATCCCGGACCCCCAAGAGGAGATCCTGACCCCAAACCTTCCCCTGTGCCTCCAAATCCCGCAGCCGCCCCACGCAATCCTCCACGCTGCGCAGCTCCCGCTCCAGGCGTAGGGTCACCAGGTGCTGGGGGGAGGGGGGGGACACCCAGGGGGTTGTTATGGGGGGTTGTTATGGGGCGTAAAGGGGTGCGAGGTGCCCCACAACCTGGTGGCACCCAGGGGGGGCTCCTACCTCCACGGGGTGCTGGAAGTCGCTTTGGGGTTTGAGCAGCGTCTGCCCGTAATCCTTGCGCTGATCTGTGGGGCCACGGGGGGGTCAGGGGTGGGGGGATGGAGGGGGGGGCTGTGTGGGGCGGCCCCATACTCACTGTAGATGCTTTTGGCGCTGGGTCGGGCGAAGCTGGTGGGGCCGTGGGGGCTGTCTTCATATTCATTGCTGTGCGGATGGACGGATGGACAGATGGATGGACAGATGGATGCATGGATGGATGGATGGACAAGCAGTGAGTCCGGCGGTGCCGCCATCTCTGTGCCCCATAGCACAACGCCGTGGGGTGTGGGGAACTCACCGGGATGGGGGTCCGCTCCAGTAGGCAAAGGGGTCTCCCATCCTCACGGCACCGATGCTGGCAGCTGCCCGGGGGAGGGGCACAGAGTGTTGACCCCCATGTGGGGCAGCCCGTGGGGTCCCCATTGTGGTGCCCAGGGGGTCCCCCCACGCGTGTCCCCATCCCACCGATAAGCTGTGACCCCCCAAGTCGCTCAGCCCCCCCCCGTCGCCTCCCCCCGCCCCACGTCTCACCCTGCTCAGCCCCCCCCC